CCCGAAGTCAAGCACGGCACGGCACGAAGTTCAACTTCCGTGCCACGGGCCGTGCCACGGACACGGTTGAGAATTCCCAGGCACGGCCCGGCACGAGCACGGGCATGGCCCTCCGTGCTGGCCCGCAGGCACGGCCCGTAGGCACGGCCCGCGGGCCAACGGCTATAAAACGGCTAGTTTTTTGCCAAAAATTCTATAAATACTCACCTCCATTTCATTCCCAAATCACAAAATCACAATCTCTTCTTCTTATCTCTTATATTCTCTAAATCTCTAATAATCCTTATTTTCTTAAATTCTCTAATTATTCTCTTAAATTCTCTAATTATTTTCCTAATATCGGAAAAAATTAAAAAGTTCGTAATCGTAATTAGTGGAGCGTTGAAGCACGGTTGTAAGATCTAAACTAATCTTAAATTTATTATTGTTTTATTGTTATTATTAGAATAATCTTGTTTAATTATTATTGTTGTTAATTGTTATTGTTGTTGTTATAATTGTTGTTATTAATTATTATTATTGTTACAATTGTTGTTATTATTTATTTTTGTTGTTATTGTTATTGTTATAGTTGTTGTTATTAATTAATATTATTGATATTTTTATTGTTAAAATTGTTGTTATTAATTATTATTATTATAGTTAACCACTTTTTATTAAAAAATTAATTGTTAATTATGGCATCGAACAACCCATCATCTAGGTCTAGGGGGAAAGGCCGACTTATCCGTAGTAGTAGTTCTAGGGAACCACCAAATACAACGAGCCCCCAAATTACGAGTCAAACCAATGACCCCATTTACTTCCCCCCGGGCTATGAGCCATATAATACGTCGGGATTTCCAGCACCACCACTAAACCAATTTCCACTACCACCATACCAATTTCCACCTAATTATATCGGTAATCAACAAAACTATTGTTCTAGCCAAGGTAGCCAAGAAAGTACCCGAATTCCCTCCGGTTCTACCCCTTCTACTGCCACTCCCACTAGTCCCACTACTAACCATCACACACATCATGAATGGTTAACCGAAACTGAGATGCTACTTTTGAAAAACCGAAGGAGTGAGGTATGGCGTTATTTTGTCCTAAGTAAAGATGGTGAACAATGGGCAAAATGTAAAACATGTAATAGTGTATTCACGGCAGTTACCAAAAACGGGACGGGACACTTATCTAGACACATGAAAGCTTGTGCAAAACCAGCTAGTGATCCAACCCAGCCCAAAATTTCCCAATTCCATCCATACGGCTTTACATACAACTATGAGAGGGATAGGGATGAACTAGGAAAAATGATAGTACACGCCGAACAACCTTTTCTTTTCTCGGAAAGTGACGCATTCAACACCTACATTAACAAAGCACTACAACCCCAACATAAAAGAATCTCTAGGAAAACCGTTCGTTCCGCCGCAATGAAAAATTTCCTAGAGTACAAAGTCCGGTTACAAGCCGAATTGAGTAACCTTAACTGTAGAGTATCTTTAACAGCCGATTCTTGGGATAGTGGTTATAAATATCACTATTTATGTGTGACTTGCCATTGGGTAGATGATCAATGGATGTTACAAAAAAGAATAATACATTTCAAAATGCTGGAATACCCACACACCGGCATTAACATTGCTCACCATTTAATGCAAGCAATAGACGAATACAACCTTCGAGATAAAATGATGTCTATGACTTTTGATAATGCAACCTCTATGACATACACAGCTAATCTTATCAAACAAAACTTAACCAATGTACTATTAGACGGTGAAACTCTTCATACTAGATGTGTTTGCCATGTACTTAACTTATGTGTACAGGATGGAGTTCGGGCAATTGGCCCATACTACAGCAAAATCAGAGATGCTATTATGTCTATTAATAGCTCTAACATGAGATACCAAGAATGGAAGAGTTTTCTAAAACAACAAAAGATAAGGGTAATAAAAATTAGAACCGATTGCCCAACTAGGTGGAATTCCACCTATGACATGTTAACAAAGGCAATTGAGTACAAGGGCCCGTTAACATTATTTTACAACCAAAAATTTCCACAAAATGCTTTGTATGATGATGATTGGAAAAACTGTGAAAGATATATGCAATTTTTACAGTTATTATATAACATGACGTATTGTTTTTCTACTGTTTACAATCCTTGTGCTCAAAACTTTCTTTCTAATGCATGCTTACTCGCCCAACTTTTCGCTGATCATCGCGATCAAAGTGATTATGATCAGTATCTTCCAGCAATGGAAAAAAAGTGGCGTAAATATTATAGTGAGATTCCTTTGATTTATATTTTTGCTTCCATATTAGATCCTAGGCAAAAGTATGAAAACACATTTATGTTAGTTGACATTTACTTTCAATGCATGTTTCTTGACGATGATGTAGAAAACTATAAGACTAATGTGAAGGATCAGTTTTTTGCTTTATATAGAGTCTATGAAGCCAAATATGGCACCGTTCCTCGCTCAGGGCCTTCCCAACCATTCAAAAACGTAAGTAAGAAGGCCAAACATTTATTTTCACAAGCTACTAACTTGATTTCAAGGTTTTCAGGTGATTCATCAATCAGGAGAACGCAAAGCGACGTCTCGGAGTTGCAGATGTACCTGAGTTACGACTTCACCAAAGGCATGGACGACGATGAGATAAACAGCCTCGACCTCCTTGCATGGTGGAAACAACAAAGCTCGAAGCATCCAACTTTGGCGGCAATGGCACGAGACATTCTTGCTATCCAAGTTTCCTCCGTCGCCTCCGAACGAGCTTTCAGCGCATCCGGAAGGGTTTTAGACGATAGAAGAACAAGTCTAAAACCCGAAACACTAGAAATGTGCGTGTGTTTCAAAGATTGGTTGGATGCGGAAAATCGCTCACAAGACCGTTCTTACGACCACAACGACAACGAAGAAGGAACCTCCGCTTCCGGTTCGGGTTCGGCTAGTTCCCAATCTATGCAACTAGCCGATGACCTTGAAGGCGAAGGCGAAGACGAAGACGAAGACGAAGACGAAGACGAGCAAGAAGAAGGAGAAGAAGAATAGACAATTATTGTATATTGTACGATTTTAAAAATATCAATTTTATCATTTTCCAATTTTTGTTTAATACCATCATTGTATGATTTTTATCATTGTTATCATTGTACAATTTTCTCAACTCAAGTAATAATAATATAAAGTACGCATTATTCACATCCAAAGTCCAATTTGCCTTTTTTCCCCGTTTTGTTACAATTTGTAAATTCATATTAAAAAAATAAAATTATACCAATTACTAATAAATCATAAACATTAAATTTTAAAGTAATAGTATAAAGTAAATATATAAATATAAATATTGAATATACAAATTATAAAACATAAATATTCAACTTATAATTATAAAATTCATAACTTAATAACTTATAACTTATAAGTTATAAACTTATAAGTTACCTTATAAAACTTATAATTATAATTTTATAACTTATATACATTATAAACTTATTAATTTATAATGTTGTCATTAAAAAAAAAAAAAAAAATGAAAACTGCACCAGCCCGCAGGCCGGCACGGTACGAGGGCCGTGCCGTGCCGTGGGCTGGCCTGTGAAAATGGCCGGCACGGCACGGCACGAAATCCTGGGCCCGCCGGCACAACCGGCACGGCACGAACCAGCCCGTGGCCCGCCAGGCACGGCCCGCGGCGGCCCGGCACGGCACGGTGCCCAGGATTAGTGGCAGGCTGTAAGCCTGTAACTAGATTCTTTCTTATTTGACAAAGTAAAAAAAAAAAGAGGCCCAAGTAAACTAGCAGATTAATTAATATATATTTTATAATTATACTACAACAATTCTAATCATTTTTTGACTGTTAAGGACTATTTGCTTACATTACATTAAATTTTATATTTACTAAACTTTGAGTGTGATCCTAAACTACTACTACGTCTTGCCTTGAAAAAAAAATAATAAAAACAAACTATATAGTAAACAAGTGTATAATTATCATCCCAATAAGCGCAAGAAAAAAAGATAATACTCCGTAATGTCTATTATAGACTATAATCAATTTAACATACTAACCGGCCCCATAACTTTATTATCCTGGCTTCGCCCCTGATGATTGGATCCGCCTTTGACCACCTCTACTTAATTTTGGCCGAATAGCCCGTTGTTTTTGGCTCAAAATGACGAGCTAGGCACAGTTTTTCGGCTTGATCCAAAGACTTGGCCTGAAATAGATCAAGTTCTTGGACAAAGCTGAACACGTCCCAAGATCAAGTTCTTGGACAAAGCTGAACACGTCCCAAGCCATGATCACCTCTACTTAAATTTAAGGGTATCCGTTCGGTTTTCGGTTTGGATTTAGCTCAAATCCAATCCGATCCGAAATATAATTCGGTTTTCAAATGTTCAATCCGATCCGATCCGAATTACTCTCCTAATCCAATCCGATCCAATCCAAATTAAAATTCGGTTATTTGGATCCAATCCGAAAATCCGAATTAAAACTTTTATTTTTAGCATCTAATAGACTCATACAATAATGAAAATAAATACAAATACTATTATAAAAATCACATTTGTCCAAGCCTTAATATTAATACAAATCTTTAAAATAGACATGATTATATAAAATAAATTGTTCAATAGTAACTAATACTAGTACACCACTACACCTATAAGGAACACCATTACAATAATAACATCAAGAACCAAATAGTCAAACATCACTGGCAAGTAAAAACTTTCACCATGTTAGAGCCACTAACTTTCAACAATAGGAAGCTAGCAGCAGCAACTCAAGACAGCAAGTAGTCCATATTTGAGTCATATTCATATATGCTTAATTTTATAATTCGGTTTTCGGTTTAGTTTGGATCCGATTAGGGTCAATCCGATCCGATCCGAAAATCCGAATTTTCAAAAAATCTCAATCCGATCCGATCCAATCCGATTTAAAGTTTGGATCCGATCCGAATTAATAATTCGGTTTGGATTGCATTGGATTTCGGTTTTAATCCAAATTATGGACACCTCTACTTAAATTTGCCCTATTTAACTCACACAAACAATTAATTCAAAAAATTTTGGAAAAAAAAAGCAATAATAAACACAGGGAGATACAGCTACAAACGAGCCAAAAAAGAAGAGAGAGAACCCCCCCAAAAAAAAAAAAAAAAAACTCAACCCGCAGCAATAAAAAACAACCTTTCGAAGGCGGCAACAATGGCGTCAGGTTCAGTAGTTCCGGCAAACAGAGGAAGAAGAAACCTAACCGACGATGAAAAGCTACAGTTCGAAGCAACAGAAGGTATTGAACCTGTTACAAGCTTCGAAAGAATGGGGATTAAAGACGACCTTTTACGTGGGATCTATGCTTATGGTTTCGAGAAGCCTTCTGCTATTCAACAGCGTGCTGTTATGCCGATTATTCAGGGTCGTGATGTTATTGCGCAAGCCCAGTCTGGTACTGGGAAAACTTCCATGATTTCTCTCGCTGTTTGTCAGATGGTTGATACTTCTACTCGAGAGTATGTGATTTTTTAATTGTTTTTTTTTGTTGTGATTGGTCTTTTTTTAGGGTTTTGATTGTTGGGTTTTGTGATTGTTTGGTTTAATTTTATTGGGTTTGCTTTGATTGGGGTTTTAGTGGTTTTTGAGAAAATTAGGGTTGGGGGAAATGGGGTTTTTTTTTTTTATGATTTTGATGTATTGCTTGATTAAATGAGTTTGAGGTGAGGTTAAAGATTTGGAAATTAGGGTTCGCTAAATAAATATCCTAATTTCAATTGTGTTAGAATGGCGAGGTGGGTTTATCAGAGAAGTGGGTTAATTTGCTTAGGAAGATGAGATTTTTAGGAATTAGCTGGTAAACTGGTTTATACTGTCTTTTCAATTGGCTTTGGGCTGAGTACTCGAGAAGCTTTTTGATGTGCTATATGTTGATAATTAGTCGACAAAGTAGTAAGGGGCTTATATTTACAAGCTTGGTTGATGAGCAGGAGTGTTTTCCTGCTTATGGAATAAGTATAAAGGGAGAGGACAAGGTGTTACAAATGCCGTGGTCAATTGTATCGCCTTAGAGCAAGTGCGTGTATTGGGAAGATTAAGCCTATTTTCCACTCTTCCCAAGAGCATGAAACAAAAAGTTTGCTGCTATCTGTTTTAGGGTTCATTCCTTTATTTACTTTCTCTCATCGTTTTTCTTAATGGGGTTGGGACGTTGGGTTGGTTATTATGGGTATAAGTTTGCATTTTTAAGCTGGCTCTATGTTACTTGGACTCAGATGAAGTGCCAAATTAGACACGGGTGTCCAAGCATCAGACTCGCCCATTTTCTTGAAAAAAGTTGTGTTTTTAGTTAAAAATGAAGTGTCCGTGTCGGTGTCCGACACGAGTCATGTTGACACGGACACGTGAGTAAATGAAAGAGTCTGAGTAACATAGGCTGGTTGTATCTTGTATAGGGTAACCTATGCAATAGGAAGGATAGAGGTAACCTCCATGTCTCCAAGGGGGCAGTTGAAGAGTCACGAGTTCTGCCAAATTGTATGAACTGATAGCCTGAATGCCTTTCTTTTGTCTCTTGAGCAAGGTCGCAGTTTTTTCTCACCTGAATGACCATCCTTATTGAAACTACTTTCCCACTAATTTGCCATTGTAATGAACAGCTCTTACCTTGGATCCACTTTGCATTTCAAACTTCCATTTTGCCTCAAGACTTTTTCCTCCTATTGTAAATTTGTTAGACTCTCTTTGAATTTAATGGATATCTTTATTGTCTAGTTTTGTACATTCTTCATGTGCAACCCTTTTATACTATCTTAATCTTAGTTGGAGGCTTGGAGCTACCGTCCTTTCAATTGATTTCTCATTTTTTGTCAATCTATCTTATTTGAATTTCCTTCTCTCAATTGCTGACTTTATCTTGCACATAAGTAGTTATTCACCCTTTAGACTACTTTGAGCAACCATTAATATGGAGTGCAAAGGTTTCATCTGTTGTGTGTGTAAAAGGGCTGAATATAGTGGCTGATAAGGTGTGTACTCAACCAGGTGGACTGCAAGAGAGCTAGTAGATTGCAAGGAGCTTATTTTTGTTAGTTATTTGTTGTTTGTGTGGGGTTATGTAGTTATAGTAGTAATCTAGATCAGATGGTGAAAGGGAATCTTAGACCATCTTCCATAAACTTGTTTTCTTTCTATTGCTTGATTCTTGGTAGCCTCGGTGGAGATTAGTAAGAGATATATGTACTTTGGCTTCGTGTTTCTCCGTGTCACATAATGTTTCACCTTTAACTTAATAAAGGATTGATATTTTCTTGCAAAATCCAAGAATAGATCTCGGGAAAAAGAAAGATAGAGTGCAATACATTGGGGGGGGGGGGGGGAGGGGGGAGAGCAAGAAAGTGGATCATGAGGCGATGCTCTCTGCTATTTTGTATTTTATTTTTGTTTATTAGATTCTTCAAGTCGTGCAGTTGTGATAATAGTTGTTGGCAAGCTTATCTTTATCATAATCATACTTTCAGGTCCACAGAGCTCGCTGCTGATTTCTTTTCTGTTTATGACATTTTTAATTTTGTATGGCAAATAATTGTAATGTTTCTTTTTATTCTCTTAGGGTCCAAGCATTAATTGTGTCGCCTACTCGCGAGCTGGCTTCACAAACAGAAAAAGTTATAATGGCCATCGGTCTCCACATGAATATACAAGCCCATGCATGCATTGGAGGGAAAAGTGTGGGTGAGGATATCAGGAAATTGGAGTATGGAGTTCATGTTGTTTCTGGAACCCCAGGTAGAGTGTGTGATATGATCAAGAGGAGAACATTGAGAACCCGAAATATCAAACTCTTAATTCTTGTAAGTCACTGGTTTCCTTTTAATTTTCTTATATTATTGAAGATTGTATCACTGCTTTTGAGCTTTGCATGGATTGTTGTCATTTAGTAGACTGAGGTACTATTTCTTATCCGAACAGGATGAGTCTGATGAGATGTTGAGCAGAGGTTTTAAAGACCAAATTTATGATGTCTATCGTTACCTTCCTCCAGAGCTTCAGGTACCAACCCCCCCCCCCCCCCCCCCCTCCAACACACACATATACAGAGAAAATTATAAGAGGAAAAATAAATGATGCTTGGGCTTAATTTTCTTTCTATTGTTCTTGCTTTAGTGGGTTAGAGGCTTTGTCATGCAGGCACCTGATTCTATATTTACAAGAGAATTTATCTTCACCATAGACCTTGGTGGTCCCAAAGTTTCTAAATGTCTGGTTTATGGGTGCCAATGTTTGAATTTTACCAATTTATGAAGCTACCTGTGCAAGCAACCTCTCTTTAAAGAATATGATAAATTGTTTTTGGTTGTAAATATTTGTTCTAATTGGCTGATTTAGGACTTGTTCTTTTCAACTTATTTCAGATACTTATTACTTATTCTTTACTCTTTCCGTTTCATAATGTTAGTCTCATATGGAATCAATCACATAAAATAAGAAAATAAATATATTTGGAATCTAACATTAAAGTACAACATAATTCATAATTAGTTTACCTTATTTAACTTTTTAAATTTTTTATTAAGGAGTAATAAATTCAATTCAAATCAGAGCAAATTAGAATTTTTGATTATCATTTACTTATCGTTAAGTTTCGTTAATTGCGTATTAAAAAAATTTATAAAAATTACTTATTTAAAAAGTTCATGATGAGATGAATCTAAAAAGATCCATTTTGATAATGTTTTTCCGTATAGATAAGTATTAAAATGCGGTCAAAGTTTAGTCATATTGTTAAATCAGATCAAACCAGACCTCATCAGACCTAAAAAAACTCACACCAGATTTACTTGTTTTAGGTGTAGAGCACAAGTCCTTCCTAGTAAGGATGTCATGATGTTTTGCTTCCTTTATTATAGTAAAAAATAAAAAAAATAAAAAAAATTGTATTTGGCGTGGTCATGCTAAACAAGGACAACTTTATTGCTCTCTTGCTGGCCTTTATAGGTGTAATTATTTCTTGTTTGTTTAAATTTACGTGGTACTAGGTCTTTAATATACGATTTGTCTGTGGTGTTCGTAGGTTGTGTTGATCTCTGCCACCCTCCCCAATGAAATTTTGGAGATCACCAACAAATTTATGACAGATCCTGTTAAAATCCTTGTGAAACGTGATGAATTGACTTTAGAGGTAAGTACCTTACTCCTTTTTTATCTTGCAAATGAAACAACGGGTACAGTTTCTGTATTCTTATATTCAACCAACAATGACAGGGCATCAAGCAATTCTTCGTTGCAGTTGAGCAGGAAGATTGGAAGTTTGATACCCTTTGTGATCTTTATGATACCCTCACAATTACTCAAGCTGTTATCTTTTGCAACACTAAGCGAAAGGTAATACATTCATTTTAATTTTTAATTATTTTTTGGGGCGGGGTTTTCATTATGCGATTAAGCAAAAGCGAAAGCTAGTTCTCGGTTGTTGTGCTTCATAAGAATTATGACTACTTTCTGAATCTGTTGTGTCGATGCTAAGAAAGCTGACTATAAATCATAGGATTAAATGGAGTGTGGGTGGGTTGGGGGTGTGATACAAGATCATATTGCAAGCAGAATGAAATAAAATACTAGGAAGGTACTAGGAAGGCGTTACTGCATATTCACTTCACAGGATCTCATTCTTTATTGAATCAGCTATCTCAGTTTTCCATAGCATATTTCTTTGTTGCTGTGCTTCATAAGTATCATCACTAGTTTCTGAATCTGCTGTGTTGATGCTAAGAAAGCTGACTATAAATCATAGGATGAAATGGAGGGGTGGGGTGGGTGAGGGTGTGAGACTAGATGATATTGCGAGCAGAATGGATTAAAGTAGTAGGAAGGCGTTACTGGCTTACTGCATATTTGCCTCACAGGATCGCTGTTATTTTTTATTTTTCTTTGTTGAATTAGCTATCTCAGTTTTCTATAGCATCTCCTTTCTTTTGTTCTGGTTTAGTTAAGTGAATTTTCCCAACATGTGATAGGTGGATTGGCTGACTGAGAAGATGCGTAACAATAACTTCACTGTTTCATCAATGCATGGTGATATGCCCCAGAAAGAGCGAGATGCTATTATGAAAGAATTTCGTGATGGTGACACTCGTGTTTTGATCACGACAGATGTTTGGGCTCGTGGAATTGATGTCCAGCAGGTAATTGTCTATACTTGGTTTGAAGTTTAAGTTCTCTCCCCTCCCCCTCTCCCCTTCCCATTAGGTGCGTTACGTAACAATTTTGATACACAAATTAATTTTAATGGTTCATTTCCTTAAAGATTGTTAGATTTTCTGGGTTACTAATTGTACTCTGTTTTCCATTTGGATTCTTCATATGTTGATCATGAATGGTTACTTTATGGGAAATTTGGATTCCTTTTCTTTGATAAACATACTAGTGCAAGCTTAATTACCCTATGTCCTGCTGTGGTTATCTGAGTTAGCCATACTTTCATTCCCAATATATAAATATAGTTGAGAGGCCATCTTTGTTACTACCCTCACTAGTTTAACTTTTCACTCCTAATTGGTAAAGAAACAAATAAGAATTGAACTACAAAGGTTGCCACCAACAACAATAAAGCCTTAGTCCCTAAATGGTGTGATGGCGGCTAACTTTAATTTTCATAAGGAACCATCCGCCCAGAAAATAGAGCATAGCAAGATAGTTGAGTGAATAAAAGTGGGGCGAAGGGTAAAAAAAATAGTTTGTAAAGTGAACCAAAAAAGTAATGCAAATAAAATTCAAGAGACTTTAAAAAGAGTGGCGAGGGGATAAAAAAGAGAGGCATATTCTGCTGGCGGTGAGCCCTGTACAACTAGGCCCTGTTCTCATCACCTCAAAAAACAAAATCAGCTTGACCAAGGAAATCAATAAAAGTCATTTATTATAGATAAGTTCTAACAAATAAAAATCAGTTTAAATTAGTAGAACTAATTTAAGTTCAGTCTAAATAATTTAATTTCCTCCAAAATAAGGTAAAAAGAATAGGGCCTTGCTACTATTCACATACTATCCTTTGATCATCTATTGCAATATTTACTCGAGTTTATAATTTGTCATGTGGTGTTGTTGAATTCTTCTCAATGTATACTTTTATAAGATCAACCTTTAATCATTCTTATTTATAAAATAATTAAGTTTATTAATGGCTATAACTGTGTGTTGGGATGAGCTTTAATTGTTGCAATACTAAAACAATGGAGGAAGTATTATTACTTATTATTCCCTACTCACACTGTCTTAATGAATGGTCGCATTTACTGTTTTTGGTTGTCCAAAAAGAATTTTCTTATGTCTTGGGTTGAATGACTAGATTTCCCAAAATATCCCTTGTTCATGAACAGTGATTACAGAAGGTTAGAGGGCCACAGTTATCACAAAGATTATTCTGTTGAATTTTATCTTATACTTAAATATGATGGGTGGTGGTGATATGCATAATATTTTGAATGGATGAAATAATATGTTAAAGGTTATATAACTGATTAGGTACACTTATGATATTTAAATGGCTCTTGGAAAAATATTGCCTTTGTTGTGTTTAACTAATTTGTTAATTCCATCAGGTTTCATTGGTAATCAACTATGATTTACCTAATAATCGTGAACTTTATATTCATCGGATTGGTCGCTCTGGCCGTTTTGGGCGTAAGGTATGTGATATCTTTTTACAGTTAAGCTTGATCAGATTACTTCTAGCAAATTACTTATTCTTGATGTTATTATCGTTGGCATTCTCCAAATATCACACCTTGTGTTCAGTTTTAAATCTTTCCTTGGTTATCGAGGTTTGTTCAGTGTTTAGCTTGTCCCCCCTCTCTCTCCCCCCTTCTCTCTCTCTCTCTCTCTCTCTCTCTCTCTCTCTCTCTCTCTCTCTCTCTCTCTCTCTCTCTCTCTCTCTCTTTCAAAAGAGAGGAAGTCTTCATCCATCTGAAGTTGGAGGGCTAAATTTGCTAAAATGTTAAAGAATCATTTTACATAACTATAATTACAATGCTTGTATTGTACCAAAAATCACTTTCCTTGACTTGAAAAGTCAATTTGCAATTTATTTCCTTGACTTTTGAAAAGTCAAATTTGCAATCTTCTTAATTTCTGTAGTTTTCCTATTTTATGGAATCCTAATAGATTATATCTACAATTTTTGGAAAAATGAGAATGAAAGCTTTTTTGTCTTCTTGGGAAAAGGCACTTGATACTCGTCGTTTTATATCAATTGCTTAACAGAAAATTTACATACTTGTGTTTGTGATTAATATTCTCCACTATGGTGTATATGTGTTCTGTGTTCATAGTGTTGACAGTAACATGATTTGTTAATAATTCCTTATTTCTTTGTTTTTATGAGGTTCTTCCCTATGCATTATATAGTGAATAAAGTCTCTAGGTCTTATTTCAAGTGAATAGCAATCTGATCATGTGAGCCGGTATTTCATCAGATAATTAGTGACACTGAGGGTCGCTTGTGATGCTTTTTTTGGATCTTTGTGCAATTTTTGATCTTTGCTTTTACATTTGAACTTTCCATTCTATCCATGTTAGGCTGAGATTGGTGGGGTAATATATTGACACTGAGACTTTCATGGTTGGGCAGCATGCAACCCGTATTTCAGAAAGATTGTTCTGTATTAAACTATCCTCTTCAGCAAGTTCCTAATTAGAAGTAAGAAATATCCGTGGAACAGAATTGCCTAAAATATCACTAAGAACCTTAACCTTATTAAGTAACAACGAAAAATTGCCTCTGAAACCTTGACGTTAAACCCTGCTTAGCTACTGTGACGCTGAGCTTGAGGGAAATCAGCTCATAAAGTCATAACACAGAGATTGTGGCTTGTCAATAGCCAGGGTGGTCAGTGACCCTTTATATTTGCCAGCTAGTGAATGTTGTATGGGGGAGAGACTGCAGGCAGGATAGTTTCCAAGATTTAGGGCAACATAGGCACTGGGAGAATTGGGTGCATGTGAAGCTCGTTCAGTTGTCTTTTCAATACACTTCCTGCTATCCTTTATTTGTTTACTTAATGTTGATCACATATGTTGCAGGGTGTTGCTATTAACTTTGTCAAAAAAGATGATATCAAGATTCTAAGAGACATTGAGCAATATTACAGTACCCAAATTGACGAAATGCCGATGAATGTTGCTGATTTGATATGAGGTCGACTAGTGCATGTGTGGGATGAAATGCTGATGACTGTTGCTGATTTGATATGAGGTCGACCTGTGCATTGATGTGACTGATTTCTTATGCCTGGAAACAGGGTGCGTGTTAAGTGTGGCGATAAGCTGCTATGGTGTGGATTGACCAGTTTTCAGTCGTTTTTCCTGTAATGGTAGTAAACATTTTGCTTGCATGATTCTTAAACTGTTTTGATAATTGATATGTTCAATATTTATGCTTGAAAGTTCTAACTGGACTGAGGGTGCGTTTTCTCTGCTGCTTTTTTTCAATAGTTTTTGTCGAGAGTTGGCTAGTTCTTATTTCATGCACCTTAAAATTATGGGTTGAATTATCACACAAATCTAATTTCTTTGAATTGGAATCTGGAACTTTGACTACCATTGTAAATTTGTAAGGAATTCATACTACCCAAATGAATTAGTATTGGCTTTAGACAACGTAACCCATCTCTTGGTGTTGGTATCGCTTGAGCTTGGTCGACGCACAACGGCACAAGGCCTCATTAGTTTTGTATGTTTGTGGCCAATGGACAAGGGTGTGCCACTGCACGCTCATTCTTGCGTAGGCAGGTGGCAAATTGCATAGCCATGTAGGTGGTTTGGAGGGGGTCATATCACAATAATAAACTTAACCAATTTTGAAACATTATGGCTTGTTTGGATTTAAGGTTTTTATTTCAAATTCAAGAATTGGGTCAAATGTCTTGTTTGGATAATGCAAACAGTTGGATTTGTATTTGGCCCAAATCCAAGTCAATTACAAAATCAGTCAAGTTTGATGAATTTAAAATTCCAACTTAATGCATGTCATTTCAATTTCCTTTTGTGCTATTTTCCCTTCTCCCTCCTCCAAAGCTCCAACAACCATAACTTTCTCTCTCTATCCTCCATTACTTCTACCACTCACAAGCTGTTTTTGGTAGATTTGACAACAAATTTTGTATTCACAAGCTGTTTTTGGTAGATTTGAAGCAAACTACAAGTATCAAAGCATTGATTTGATAATTTTACATCCGATTTTTTTTTTTCAATTCAAATAATCAAATTGGGGCAAAAATTAGGTTAAGACATAAATTTTTAAAAAAAGTACTTGTAAATTTTTTAACAAAAGTGGATAAAGAGCTTTCAAACTTTGAATCTAAATTTTTAGGAAAATTTCAATGGTTTTAATTAAAAATTGGATTATCGTCGCTTTTTTTCCCAAATTTTTTTTGAGCACCTAGTTGTAGTTTCCGATGACATCATTGTATGATTTGATGATTGATTGATTATCAAAGAAGTTGATGCATGTGTTGTTGTCATTCAATTAGTTAACCATTGATTAATGTAGATAAATCAGTCATAAATTTTCAGATTATACTTCACAAATTCTACTCACCTCCAAACACCATTTAGAATTTGAAATCATAGAATTGAAATTTGAATGTTTCCCAAACATATATTTTGGAATTGAATTCTATGATTTGAAATTCTAGATTTGAAATGAATCATTTGAAATTAATTACTTGTATCCAAACACAACCTTAGGTTATTTATTAATAGAAATTTGTTTTACAACCCTGAAAACACTATTTATATATGTAACCACTTGTTTTTTCGTATATTTTATTTAATCACCCACAAAAATGCCAAAAAAAATATTACTTATCAAACAATTTCATACATTTAATAATCAAAACTACCCGTCAAAAAAATAATAATCAAAACAAAATTTTCAATGCATATCAAACTAATCGTAATTTACTTGCCTATAAATTTGATTAGTTAAGCTTTGTATTCACAAAATGATTGAATTTTGTTGAGAGTGTCGTGATAAGAAAAAAAAAGTAACTATTCCGTAAAAGAAATTATTAAAAGGCAATTATAAACTTTCTTAATATTTATAGAGAAAAAAATAATAATATCTATATATTAATTGCAGACATTTTTTTTTATATAACTTCATACTAACTTTCACCTTTCATAATTGATAGAGAAAAAGTGCATAACTTCCACTTCTCTCTGTGTCACTTCTCTCTCTCTCTGTGTGTGTGTGTGTGCGTGCGTGTGTGTGTGTGTGTGTGTGTGTGTGTCCTTACCTTAGCATCAGTATACTCTAGTAAATTAAAAAAAAAAGAGGGAAATTGAAGAATTTTGAGGAAAAAAATAAGGCAAATTTGTTTTAAAAAATCTTTTAAATGCATCATTTTGCGGGAAAAACCTTTTAAAAGCTTTATTATATTTAAAAAAAACCCGAACTTAAAATTTTTTTTGTTTAAAACAACCTAACAACAGTAATCCACATAATTAATATCTAATTTCTTCTAATCATTCTATAACTCTTAACTATTTAATAATTAAATTAATTTATAGATTACTATTATTAAAACAAAACATTGCTTACATAATCAATTATGAAACAATCTTACGTGTCATTCTCACATTAAATTTTTTCCCTCCAATTTTATGTATATGATGTCATCAATTATTAATGTTTTTTTTTTTTAATTTTTAATCTATACTTTTGACTTTAATGCAATAGATGTCTATATAAAATTCAATTAACCAAGCAAGTTTCTCTCCTAAATTATAGTTTTATATATCTAATATGTTTGATGTTTGATTGTGGTTACAGTTATATTTACTTTCCTTAAATGTAAGTAAATAATTTTTATATTTAATTCTAATTTTCATATACAATGTAAAACAACTTAATATAAATTTTAACTGTGCATCGCACTGTAATTTTAATCGTGCATCGCACGAGGATAACCTAGTTTAAAAATAAAATAGAAAACCACCACCCCACAACAAGGCAGCCACCCTTTCCTCCTCCCCTTGCAGCAGCCCCCACCCCCGGCGACGCAACTCCACCGCTGGCCGATCCCCCTCCTTTTCCCCTTCCCCCGGCCCGTTGCAACCCTCCCCCTCCCTAAACCCTGGAAGCAGCCACCAATCGCCATAATCGTTGTCGCATAACCAAATTCTATGTCTTCTCTTCCGCAATCACCGCCACAAACGAATGAAGTAGAAAATTATCGAGGTGTTCTTATGCACTTATCTTCTCTCTCCTCAAGGTATGTTCTTACCCTTGACTATTCTAAAATTTTGAGACTCTTGATAACAGAGATGATGGTTTTTGTGGTCGAGGTAGGTGGTGCATAATTTGAGGATTGGGGTTTAAGGGATTTGGAAGAAACTCAAGAAAGGGTTAGGAAAGGGGAGAATGAAGGGTTTATGGAAGTAGCCACGATTGTTGAAGGCATTCAAGGTTGAGGAGAGAGAAAAAGAAATATTTAAGAATAAGGGGGCTACTGTCATGGTTTAAGGGGAGGAGGAGGTGGTCGCCGGGGGTAAGGGTTGCTGCCAGGGGAGGGGAAAAGGTGGCTGACCGGTGGTGGGGTGGTGGTTTTCTATTTTTCTATTTTTTTTAATTTATAAATTAATTTAACTATTAAATAGTTAATCAAAAGTTATAGAGTGATTTGAAGGAATTACATGTTAATTAAGTGAATTGGTGCTACTAAGTTGTTTTAAACAAAAAAAATTAACTTTGGGTTTTCTTTTACAATAAAGCTTTTAAAAGGGTTTTTTTTCGCAAAATTACGCATTTAAAAGGTTTTTAGCCAAAAAATAGTGATTATTGCTTTAGTAATAGTTATAGATAGATGAAGAAATTTATTTATCTTCATTTTATTAGAAAATTAGAAATTGTATGTTTTAATCAAAGATAATACTCCATATTTTTTTTATAAGTGTTACTATTTCACAAGAACATGATTTGTTTTGACAAATTTTGCAATGTGCAAAGGGCGTGTTGTGGTCAAACAAGAACTCTTTCAAAGACATATTGCGGGGGATGAGTTGTGTGGACAGTGTGACGGTGGAGTTTAATCAATCATTTATGTACTTTTTTTTTTATTGCGATGCATCAAAAGATGTCTAGAATAATAGTCATTTTAGGTCTATTTTGAATAATTCTCTGAAATCTTTTTTTCGCTCAAGTTAATATGGCTTGCTGATAAGTTAGATCATCATAAATTGCGTCTGCTATGTGCCATGGCTTGGTCCCTTTAGTTTTGAAGGTACAAGAGGGTTCATGAGGGGTTTCTTTCTCAATGCTTCTCAGACAACAACAAACTAGGCCAAACTCGTTGAGGAGTATTGTTTGTATGCCAAGAAAGTGTTCTCAGGCCAGCCTCAAAGTACAAAAAAGCTCTCGCCAACGACTGGGCTTTGTCCCTTGGAAGGTTTCATTAAAGTAAATGTGAACGCTCACCTAACTAGCTCCTTGGGGTTGGGGGCAGTGGCGAGAAGCCATTAAGGGGAGCTTGTATAAGCTGCGGTTAGACGAGTTGAGGTGTATCAGAGGTGGAGTGTGCTGAGGTAGCTGGTGCATGATTTGGGCTCTTGGTGGCTACGCGTCTAGGTGTTAGTGTCACATATATGTTTGGAAGGTAATTTTTTTCGTCTTTGATGCAATCAACAATAACTCTAGGGATCGCTTGTCAATCTAATTAATTTATGATATTAGCATGTTATCTGAGTCTTTTTATGTTGTTATAACAAGGTAGCCTACCTTGTAACAAGATGGGATGCACATGGTTGCTAGCAATTTGTCGTTCGTTCTTTCATCCATTCTTGAAGAGTCATATAATTTTAGCGAATTTTGATTATAATCCGCTTATCAAATGTTTCCTAAAATTTAAGAAAATAGAACATGATTTATTTGTCATTTTGTTATTAAGATGATAAATAAGTAATAACTAATAAGTTTCTCAATTATTTCCAAAACGAAGGGGGTGATTCATACTCCTTCCGTCCCTTAATTAGATTCGTACTTCTCTCTAGTAGAAATAGAAGTAGGAATCTAATTAAGGATTGGACGGAGTAAAAAACAATTTTAAAAATTAAAAATCGGACACTAGCACTGAAGAAACACTCTAAAACCCTAACTACTAGAACCTTCGTAACCCCCTCTATCTCTTTCCTCGAGCGTAGCCTTAACCTACATGCAGGATTGTGAGAGGAACAACAAGAAGAGCAGAGGAGAAGCCGCACCTCCCTTTTCCACTCTCTTCACCTCTTTCAAGCCTCGTCAGGTTATCCTCAATTCAATGTCTAACATCAAGCTCGATCATAAAAATGTCGCTAAATCCCTGATTTCTCTAACTCCTGAACAGAGGAAACTTCTTCTTCAATCCATTTGTCAATTCTTAGAACTTAATGGCTTCTCCAAATCTCTTAAGAAGTTCCACAAAGAGGCTGATGTTGA